ATACAAACTGTTTTACATCACTGATACATTACTTGGCAGAATGATTCCCTGCTTTTAGAGCGGTCAAGCAAAATATTGAGAACCTTATCATTTATCTTTACTTTAGTCCTTTATTCAAGAAAAGGTGGGAAATAAGCTGTGGGAAGCTTTTATATCTGTTCCAGACAAACACTGAGTGGACCAGGAAGGAACAAGGCTGAACGAGGAACAAAAAGATGCTCATCAATGATCCTCGTTTGCCATCCATCGGTCATGTAACAGATCTTTTTCAATTATTTGGTATGAAATTAGAGAAGGGCAAAACGAATTGCAATGGATGACGAGTTGTTCGCCGTCAAGGAAAAGATTAAGGCGCCTTTCTGAGAAAAGATGTTTTTTATTCTTTTTTTTTATAATTCGTTGATTTAAACTGAAGAAGTTCAAAGACACATAAAGCTGCCTTTTTACAACATTACGAGGTTAGTTTCGACAGAGTTTGAGGAATTAATTAAAAAGGCGTGTGTTTCTCTGTTTGTGAAAGATCTTGACGACCATTTTCTCGCACTACAGACATAATTTCAGGCTGGAGCCCAAATCCTGCTCTCTTGTTTTTTTTTGAGGAAGGCAATGGTTAGTAGTCGGTAACCTCTCAGCACGATATGGTGCCTGCTTCCTTGTCAAGCTGCATGAAAAAGTGGATTTTTTTCATATGAAGACCCTGCCGCATTAGCACCCTTAATCAAGCTGCTTATAAATGCATCAATACTGTTACTTAGTAGCTAGATTTTCGGAATTCCTTCCAAGACCTAATACAGGAGACACTGGCATTAAACAAGTTTTAAAACAGAATTGTACAGGGGATTTTGTTGTTGTTCACGACTTCGATTACCGGAAATAAAACCAAGTTAAAACACCACGATATGATTCATTTGTTGTCATGCTTTTGTAGCTCTCGAATTTATAGTTGATGATATCCTTTCACAGATTTCGAAATGCCCTTGCGTTTTTTCATCAAAAGGCGATTAAATTCTCTGAGGTGGAGTATTTTGAATAACGAAAATGAGATTTTTGCATGGAATGACTCCGTCTCAGGCGATTGCTATCTCCAACAAGACTAAATTGAGTCTAATTTAACTTAGTTCAGTGCCTTTCTTCCCAATTTACGCCAGCTTTTTTTTAACCGCATGGACGGGAACACAAACATTTTTCTACTTGTATTCTTTTAAATAAAGTTTTATTGCTGCTCCAAAATCAAATCTACACTTTATTTGGAACCATCCTGCAAGGTATTATGTAAATAACTGATGGTATCATTCAACTCAAAGTGGTCAGATCGACCTCACAGTATATAAAGGTCGACCCCACATTACTTTCAGTTGTTACGGTATAAAATCACAATCCCACAAACTCAATTATGTTATTAAACAGCGAGTAATGTTCTTAACAAAGAGCGCCTCCTAAAAGCAGTACAATACTTATCGTTAATAAACTTAATTCAGTAAGCCTGCCACAATCAACATCCTAGCTCACCACTGAGACAATCTCATTGCTGTCTCCAAAGTGCCTTGAAATGAGAAATTTTCCGCGGTAACTCTTTCTCGGTAGAGCTTTCAAAACAGTCTTCGCTCCGACAACAACAACTGTAACTAGCCCTACTACTGCATAAGTCATTCTTTATATATTTACAAAGTGTTCTGGAACATTCCAGAAGCTTGGATAATAACTGTTTTAGTAGTATTACATAATAGGTGCGTGACATTATGAAATGCTCCAGAAAGTTCCATGGTATGCAAGTCAGCATGACCAAGCAGTCTGGAGATTTCTAGAAGGTTGTATTTACAACAATTACTCATAACGCAATGGACTGCCATCGCATCTTGTTAAAGTCACGGTGCTTCTAAGTTTCTTCATTAGGATAACAACAAAATTGTCTTATCGTGTGCTTTACGGCTCGTTTCATTTCTCTCATCCTCCAACAATACAGGATTGGATTTATAGTCGAGTTAGACAACATAAGAGATGTCGATAAACACGAGACAAAGTTGAATGATGGCGTTTCATGTTCAGTGATAGAAACAAAACCAATGACCAAAACAAAAGGGAGATAACAAACCAGTGATGCCATTTGTACCCACAGTGCTGTGGACACTGTCTTTTTGTATCTCGCGTTATTCAATGGAGTTGCTTCTTCATTCTGTTGTCCTTGGTGACCTTGGCTCTGAATTTGTGCTTGCGAGAGGCGGAGAGTGCGATAAATTTTGATGTAACAAAATGAAGAGATCATTATGCCTAACAAAAACGTTGCAGACCCAATGCCTAGGAAAATGCGATAACTATGAAATAGTACCGGCATAATGATAATGCATAAGACCCAATGAGTACCAACGAGAGCCTTTACTCGCCTCATAGTTACAACCTGTTTGTATCTTAGTCCCAGCGACAGAGCAAGAAGTCTGTCCACACTTATTGCAGTCATTGTTGACGAAGATACCCCACAAAATATTGAACCAGTGATAAGAAAAAGTAAAGAAGAGAAGAAACAAACCCTTGAGTGCTCAGGGGCCATAAGGAAAATACAGAAAAGAGGATGTGAAATAAGGCCCACGCCCAAATCTGTGCAAGCAAGACAACTGAGCAAGAGTTTTGACGGCGGATGAAGGCACGACACCTTTCGGAGAGCAATGATGATCAAGAGATTTCCAATAATTGCAAAAATGGATGAGGGAAGATTTATAGTTGAAATGAATATCTTCTGAGCTGTTCCTAGACCTAGAGAACAGGAAAACCCCAGGCCTGTTGTCGTATAATTTCCATCCTCAGTTAAATTCGCCATTATTTCATCCACGGCTCTTTCTTCATATGCAACCCGAGCTCTAGTAACACTGTTAGAGTTGATCTAGATATATTTGTTTTTTCCGCTTCAAAGTGTATTGGTCTCTTCTGAAATAAAGAAAATTACCTCTTAATCCATAAGATCAAATTGTAAATTATAAATTAACGACGTGATAAAATGGTAATATATTCCTAAACACTGACGATGTCGCCGCCAAAACTGGAAATTACTCACCTGGATCCGTTTCAGGCTAGTTGCAACTCGTGCTACAGTATACGAGGTATTTTCTTATGCCCGTATAAACGTAAAAATTCTGCCTTCACAGCAGAATGATCAACAATATGGTCTTCGTAACAAACCCTTTTTTTATGGTAAAATAGCTTCTAGTGAGGTCTTAAATTACTTAATGTTCGAAAGAAATTTTAGAAAAAGGAATCAAAACCATGTCTTCGAGCTTTCGCCGATCTAATGCATGATGATGCCGTGGATCGGCAAAAATTCGAAGATTCATTTAATTTAACTCGTTTTTAAAAGTTTTAAATTTAGGAAATTTATACAGTAGTTTAAGGCCTCATCAGAAACTATTATCCCATTTCAAAATGTTACTGAAGGACAACATGAATTGACCCCTTATTTTGGTTAGAATGAGCGGGAAAACGGCTGGATGGATGTAACGAAAGTCTAGGTTGTGAAAATGGCACACAACTGAAATGAGCTGGTCGCTTTCCCGCTCGCTGAGAGCCAGAGGATGTTTAACTCTTACTTTGGCCAATTGCAAGTATAAGTGTACTACGTAACACAATTTGTAAAACTACTTTAGTGACGTTATTTATAAGGGGAGTTTGTCAAAAGAAGCAGAAACCTTATTGAACTTTACAAACACAAAACGACTCAGTGCACCTCAATAAATAACTAAATATAAAACCCCAAACTGGTTTTTTTTATCCTCAAACTGTGCCTTGATATTTAAAGGAGAAAACTGAAGGTTCGCTCAGCGATGATACACGTTTGTGAGTCGCAAACAGGCAAACCACCCATACACCATGTTTCGGAATCTATTATAAAACCGAAACGAAACTGACTTACCTGAACACTCACAGTGGAGATATATGAAACGATGCTTCGGTCTTGAATTCCTTCAATTCTATCGGTCGCAAAAAGAGAAAAAACTATATTATAGGAATGAATATACAAATTATGTTTGTATATTAAATTATTGTAAATTATCTTGTCCTCGTCGAGAAATAACTTGAAAAGTCAATCACTCGTTGGCGTCTCTAACTGCGAACGAGAAGGCTGCCAGTTATCAAAAAGAGAGAGAGAGATTTGCAAAATTTGCATTGTTCGTGGTATGTTTCTAATCCTTTGTGCCTATGAGCAGGTGATTCAATGTCTATCACGTTCCTTTGTCAAGTGAAATGGCCGGACAAAATATTGAACTTGACAAACACTGACAAAGCAAATTGTTGCTCCCCTAATGACCCAACAGGATTTTTTTTCCACTCTCAAATTGTGCCTTGCCACTTGAAGTACAGAAAATTGATCGTTGCTTTTATAGATATCTCACATGCGTAGGTCACAAACAGGCAAACCCCCCAAAAAACTTTCAGGAATTCATGTTCAAATCGAGAAGAAACTGCCTTACCTTGGTGCACTGAAAACTGACTCGCACAGGAAACATGAAACGGTGCTTCGGCCTTGAATTATTTCAACTCTGTCAGTTGCAAAAGAGAGAATAAATGATATTATAAGTATATGAACATCGAAGAATAACGAGGAGAAAACCATGCACTTACATGGTTGGTAAAAATCAACGATTTTTCCAATTTAGATCGTTCGTATTTATTCGTTCGAGTATAATGGAAGAAATACCTTTTTAAATTCATACATCAGTTTATTATTGAATCAGCTATTTCTATCCCCTTTAACATGAAACTCGTTGGGTTTTTTCACTGAGAGATGTAATTTTTTTTGCATGCAGGAAAAAATGATGAGCAACAAAATTTTCGTTTCGAAAAGGAAAAAATGTTTATTCCCGTGCATATAAATACATGACTTCCTGTGATGATAAGATTCCGTGTTCTTAGCTAAGTTATTTTAGCTTTTATCAAAGTTTGCCTTCATGTAGAACTGACATTATGTTTTAATCAATATTTTTGTTCAGTCAAAGGAAAAAATATTTTTCCCCGTGCATATAAATAAATGACTTCCTGTGTTGATAAGACTCCGTGTTCTTAGCTAAGTTGTTTCAGCTTTTATCAAAGTTTGCCTTCATGTAGGACTGACATTATGTTTTGATTAATATTCTGTTTAATCCATGAAAAATATAGCATATTGGTCTTCGTAAAAAAACCTGAACGCACTTTTTAATATAGAGCCGTTAATGTGAGTGAACTTGGGACTAATAAAAGGAGAAAGTTTAAACAGTGTTATATAGCGTAGTAAAAGACCCTACGCAGTCTAGACGGCAAATGCAAGAAAAAAAGTTCATCAGAGAATTAATAAATCTTTTCGTCGAGAATGTCGCCAATGTCTAGGGAGTTCGACCTCTACAACGAAGCCGAACTCCAATTTCAGCGTAACATATGTGAGCAGGGCTGCACTTTGCAGAGGACGACCGGAAAATGTATCAAAACTGCTCAGTAGATCCTTTGTTCTCTTTATCTCACATGTGTGGGTCACAAACAGGCAAACCCCCCAAAAAACTATCGGGAATTCAAGTTCAAATCGAGAAGAAACTGCCTTACCTTGGTGCACTGAAAACTGACTCGCACAGGAAACATGAAACGGTGCTTCGGCCTTGAATTATTTCAACTCTGTCAGTTGCAAAAGAGAGAATAAATGATATTATAAGTATATGTGGTTCAGTGGTTTGTGAATAAATGATATTATAATTATGTGTTTCAGTGGTTTGCTTAAGCTGTCTAGTGTCACGACTGCCACTCGTCAGAAAGAGCTACAGAAGTAAATAATGCGCGCATTTTGACAGGTGCAAAACGTTCAAATATTATCCTTTTCTACCTGCAGGTTTTTTAATATTTGTAAAAGAGAGGAACTGAAAACAACTTCTTCCCGAGTTATTTAGGATCAAACAACAAAATTGTCAAATATTCACCTGTTTTTGTGTCAGAAAAGCTACTGACGCGCAGTTAAGACATGAAACGAATCTCTGGCATTGAATTCCGGCTTCAAATCTGTCAGCCCCAAAAGTGAGAAAAATTGTACCTTACCGCTCGAAGTGCAGTAAAGTGATAGTTGCTTTTAAAGATATCTTACATGTGTAGGTCAAAAACAGGAAAACTCCCTGCTCCCCCTCTAAAAAGAAATGACTTAACTTAGCGCCTTGAAAACTGGCTCGCACTCGGTAGAAACATGAAACGGTGCTTCGGTCTTGAATTCCTTCAACTCTGTCAGTTGCAAAAGAGAAAATAAATGCTATTATAAGTACATAAACATCAAAGGATAATGAGGAGAAGACCATGCATTTACTTGGTTGGAAAGAATCGACGATTTTTCCAATTTGCATTGTTTATATTTTGATAGACTTAATGGAACAATACCTTTGTTTTAATTCAAGCATCAGTTTATTACAGAATCGGCTTTTCCTATTCCCTTTCACATGAAACTTGGTGGAATCCTTCAGAGTTAAAATATTTCTTGTATGAAAGAAAAGATGATGAGCAACAAAATTCTCGTTTTAAAAAGGAAAAAATACTTATTTCCGTGCATATAAATACATGACTACCTGTGTTGATAAGATTCCGTATTCTTAGCTATGTTTTTTTAGCTTTTATCAAAGTTTGCCTTCATGTAGAACTGACATTGTGTTTTGATCAATATTCTGTTAAGTCCTAGAAAACATAGCATATTGGTGTTCGCGATAAAAAAAACCTGAGCGCACTTTTTAATCTAGAGCCGAAGATGTTGGTAAATGTAAACAAACAATTAACTTGGAATTAATAAAAGGAGAAAGTTTGAACAGTGTTATATAGCGCAGCAAGGTTCTTACGCAGTCTGGAGGGCAAATGCGAGAAAAAAAGTTGATCAGAGAATGAGCTGCATAAATCTTTTTGTCAAGAATGTCGCTAATGTCTAGAAGAGTTCAACCTCCATATAACGACCCCAAACTTCAATTCCAGTATAACATATGTGAGCAGGGCTGAGCTTTGCAGAGGACGGCCGGAAGATGTATGAAAATAGAAGCCACACGTCAGAAAAAGCAAACGGATATAAATGATGCATGCATTTTGACAGGTGTAAAACATTCAAATATTATCGTTTTCTACCTGCGCGTTTTTGCAATTTATATACAAAAGAAGGAAAAACTGAAAACAACTTCTACCCAAATTTTTTTTAGGATCATACTGCAAATAATACTGCTAAATATACGCGTGTTGTTGTGGTGTCCTTAAAACTGTTTCCTCTCCCTAATTTTCGGTGAAGAGTTCTTTTAGGTTAACAAGGTGATGAAAAATAAAAGCAATAATAGCAACGATTCTATTGTTTTCTTTTGCTACAGGGAAGACTACATACACTTAAATACCTGAGATATTTAATTCTAAAAATTCTTGGCTGATTTTTGTTTTTATTTGACAACAGCTTAGACAGCTGTAAATATCTGCGAAGACACCGAGTGAGTGCTGTTGATTGCGTTGATAGAGACCAATTGGTTATTAGAGCGGAAGTTATAACAAGTTTTCATTTCTTTAAGGGAGCTCTGCAAACGACATTAATTAATCAGTATTTATAGAAAGTGCGATCGGTCACCTCAGTCATTAGCGGTTTAAACAGATGATTTGAAAGTGCAGCTAGTGCATAGCGCTAAACAGCTCTAAACAATTAACTATGCAGGAACACTCTAAAATAAGCCACTGCTAATGCTTCTTTAACATTTATCACACCCTCCATTTACATTAATTTTTGATGGACCATTAGTTCTCTAGTAAATAAATTCAATGTGAGGAATAATTTAGTTCACGGTATACATGCTCGTGGTTAAACTGCGAAAAAGTTCAAAATGCTCTTGGTAACTTCATCGTGTTCCAAAGGTGGCCTTCCTATGAACCAATGAGATAAAGGGTTCTCGACTTTTCTCAAAGGAGTAAAATTTGTAAACTGTACCTGCACTTTATATGCTCAATGATGTTTTTTTTTAATTTTTCTTTCCCATGTTTCGATTTGAATTTTCTTTATGGAGATCTAGCTGTATCTCAGTTTATGTGTCTAGATTTATCTTAAATATTCAGTTTCTTCTTCCTTCTGTTTTGCAATTCTGCTCATTCATTCGCTAGTCTGCCTCTTCGCTATACTTCATTGATTAATCTTTGTTTCCCATTTTGTGCTCCTCATTCCCCAATTTTCCTATTTTTATTTGATGACACAACTCTTTAGCATAACTTTTTCTGTTTCTTTTAGTTGATACTCATCAGTTGTCATTTAGATTAGGCTTGTTTTATTTTTTTTATATATTTCTTGTATTCTAGTATTACTCGCTCCCTTTATCCTACTTTATTCGTTTTCTTCGTATGTCTTGATCCAATAAACACGTAAATCCTTAAATTAAGTCTGTTATCGAGCTGACCATTTACGTTGACCATCTCCGCCTACACTGGAGATCTACGAGGGCCACTAACCGATTCTGTAAGGTCACGTGAGCGGATGTTAGTTCTTTGTTCGTTCCCAGCCTTTACTCTATATTCAGCCAGATGCCTGTTGTTTTCTAAATGTTTCCAAAACAATAACCCTCTTCCTTGAAGAAGACGAAAGAAACTTTCTGTTTGCAATAGAGATCACGCTTTTAAACGGAATGAATTATCAAGCTCTTTTCAGTTACTTTCTCTTACTATATTCATGTTCCTCAAGTCAAACAAAACCAAAACTAACTCGAAGGTATCTCGACGGAGACAAGTACGTTTTTGTCATCGACAATCTCTTCCCGGCAGAAGTTGTTCGTGGGTATTATGGCCTTGTCACTTCTGGGAAACTAGAGGGGAAGATCTCTTCGTGGTTTTACGCATACAACGATTATTACCAAAACATTGAGACTTTTAATACATCAAGTAATTCGCCTTGGGTTGCTCCTGTCAATCCAGAGTTTTTCTCCGATACAGCTTTATGGAATATAAGCCGCAAAGTCGTGGAAAAGTTATCTGGAGGGAGAGAATATTTTCCATACGATGTCACTTTCTCAATGCATCGCAGGCTGGATTTTATAACTGCTTCTAGCAAGGGTAAGGGAGATATTTGAAGAATTTTACCCATCATGAAACTACGTTTGTTTTTCTTGTCTGATGTTCGTGTTCTTTATTTTGCATTGAATAATAATAAATCATGCAGATACGATACCATTGACTGAGTAAACAATGCAGTTCATCGCCGAAGAATAGCCAAGTTTTACGTGTAAATTTACATTGATAGTTTCTTCTGTTTCGAGCCCTCGATACAGCTGCCCTCAAAACTATAAAACTATACAGTAAATTATTTCTGAAAGGTTAATACTCGCTGTAATCCAAAACAGGTGTGAGCGAATACCTCAGGATTGTATTAGTTGCCATGTTGCAGAGTAGATACAGAAAGCTTTCAAGTCACTAAATCTGATTTGTAATTCTTCTTCCTAATTGCTTGAATTCTCCTTGGAAATAACTTTGTTAAATTGGATGTTTTATCATAAGATAACACTTTACAGCTGATATAGTTCCTTTTCTTACCACCTCATTTCTGGAAAATGTATTTAAATTGTTAGGAGAAATTTCATTTTAATCATCTTTGGAGATGGAAAAGTTTAATAAATCTTATTTTCAATTTTTTGGGGGTTGCATTTAGCAATTATTTTGATTTGTATGATATTCATATTTTTCTTATGTATAACTGAAGATTACAAACATCATGTTATAGCTTTTTATCATTAAAAATTTCATGTCTCTTACTTTGCTACATCTTGGTTTGATGAGTTGTGGCTCTCTGTCAGAGGGATGTGGTGGTATCAATTGTGGTCAGCTGATAGAATTTTGACTACAAGTGTTCATCTCACTCAAAAGGCTGTGAACACTTTGTGGTAAAAGGTTACAGGTTCTGACACAATGGCCAGGTAGAAGTTTAAAATTTGGTAACCTTGCAACAAAGCTAACAATTAGAGGCAATAGTCTTGTCATACTCCACTGTCTACTTTCTGATTTTTTTTCTACAGCTTTAATTGATATCAGCCTCCCCTCCCCCACTTTAATTTTCCTTTTTGATATTAACAAAGTGGCCACTAATTTCTTGCAATTATGTTTGAGGGGAAGCAGAAACTTTCAAGTAGCTTAAAAGATTTGAATATATATTTTTTTTTGACTTGATCCCTTACTTTTTGTTTTTTTACTGCTTTTTCTTTAGATTTGATTAATCTTCCCCTCCCCTTACCCACTTCAATGTTCCTTTTTTATATTTATAGTTATTTTAGCAGTTGGCACATGTTGTAATCATTATGGTTGTTGACTAATCATTATGGTGGTTGTCATTCTTGAGAGGTGGCCATTGTTGGGGGTTTTAAGTAATAGCAAATGTATGAGCTGTTTGTCAAAATCAAAAATGTGACCTTTTTAGGGAAATGGCCATAGTGGAGAAGTGATATTTTGTGGAAGTTGGACTGTATTCAACAAACAGTTGCAAACTGTAAAGCAACTGTGATGATGATCAGTGCTGCCCTCGCTTCTGTGATTTCAATATACATATAATAACTAATTGATTAACTTTCAATTTGTCTGCTGTAGGTAATTTTTTCCTACATTTTTCTTTTTAATGTTTGCAGAGAACAACATAGATGAAGATGAACTCATGATCAGAATATCTCTGAACAAAGACTTCAAGAGAAATGATTATGGGGAGGCTATTTTTTACAAAGACAGCAGAGAAATTCTAGCAGCTGTGTATCCCAAAATGGGACGGATGGTTGTCTGGAATGCAACAGTTCCATTTATCTTCAAGCCTCCTGCAATGTCGTATGTACAAGCACAATTTGACATTCTTGTAAGAGTGACAACAT